CGCCCCCCTGGCAAGAGCATCACTTTTCAGGCTCCCACTCTGCTGACCGTGCGCGGCCAGCCGCATGCCCGTGGGGGTGGCCGCTCCCTGCTGCCGGGCCCAGCTGGCAGGCTGTGCAAGGTCAGTTGCTTCTCTGCAGTCCCCTCCTGGTGTCCCTCCCCGGCAGCCCCACGTTCCTGGGGGATCCTGTGGGAGCTGCCAGCCAGGCCAGGCTGCGCCCAGGTTCTGGGAGGGGTCCCGAGGAGGCCCTGGCCTCCCCTTTCAGGTCCTGTGGGCTAACAGCAGCCCCCATCCCCGGAGCCTCAGTTTCCTTATCTGTCCAGTGGTGTGGAGGCCTGAGTGCTCAGCAGGAGGGCTGGAGCTTGAGGGGGGAGGGGGCCGGGGGGGCACTGTCCAAGAGGGAGGGGCCCCTCCTCGGCCAACATCCGGGTCCTGAGAAGGGTGTTGGACAAACCTTTAAGGCAGATGGACAATGCAGACTTTTTACTGGGCTATTTTACAGGCAGACCTGGGACCCCCCCAGAGACCCCCCCAGACTGGCCTGGCCCTGCCAGAAGCCGCTTCCTGCCCCACCTCTGTCCACACTCGGGGCTACCTTGGGCAGGGTCCCCAGGTCTCTCACACCCTTGTCATGTAGAGGGGTTTGGCTCAGAGACAGTGGGGCGGGGGACAGGAGTGGCACCTGTGGCTTGGATGGTGGGAAGAAGGGGCACAAGGGGTGAACAGGACCCCAAATAGAAGCTGCTCTTTGGGGGTTCAGGGCAGGCCAGCCGGCCGTCAATGGGCTGGGGGCCAGAGGACTCCTCCCAAAGGCCCACCATGGGCTCGGGAGAAGGGCCCCAGGAAGGGGGCTTCAGGTCTAGCTGAACAGCCCTGGTCTGACCACCTATCCCCTGGACTGGGGGCAGGTGTGCCAGATGCTGTCCAGCAACGGTGATGTGAGAACCAGGACTCTACCCTGTCCGCTCTTAGTGGTCTTTCACCCGCTGGATCTCTGCCAAGGGTCCCCCAGCTCTGAACACTTGTCTGCCTGGACCTCCAATGTTGACCCCAGGACACACGGTCATGGCAAATGGACATGTCGGAAGTCTGACCCACCTAGCCTTCCGACTTAGACTCCAAGTGGGGGGAGATCACTCAGGGACTGGAGCACTGTGTGCGGCATGTGCATGTACACATGGAGTGTGGATCACTGTGGGTGCATATGTGTGCATGCATGTGTACAAGGGGTGCATGTATCTATGTGGGTGTGTATCAGTGCATGCATGGGGTACATGTATGTGGGTGTGTATGAGTGTGGACATGTGGACATGGAGTTCACGTGTGTGGGTATATATGAGCATTGCATGTGGAGAGTGCACGTGTGTGGGTGTATATGAGTGTTGCATGTGTGCAGAGTGCACGTGTGTGGGTGTATGTGAGCATTGCATGTGTACATGGAGTGCATGTGTATACGTATGTACATGTATGTGGGCATGTATGAGCACGTGCATATGTACATGGAGTGCATGTTTGTGGGTGTATATGAGTGTGTGCATGTGTTCGTCAAGTGCATGTATATGGGTGTGTATGAGCGTGTGCATATGTACAAGGGTGCATGTGTAGGTGTATATGAGCATGTGCATGTGCTCATCGAGTGTGTGTATACGGGTGTGTATGAACATGTGCATGTGTACATGGAGTGCATGTATCTATGAGCATGTGCCTGTGTTTGTGGAGCGTGTTTATGTGGGTGTGTAAGTGTGTGCACATATGCATAGGGAGTGTGTATCTGTGGGAGTGTATATGGGTGTGTGTATGTGGACATGGAGGGAGTGTGTCTATCTGGGCGTGTATGAGTGTGTGCCTATATGTGTTCATGGAGCATGTATCTGTACCTGTTTATTTATATGTGTATTCCTCAGTACCTTTGGTGAGCATATGAGTATTTGTGTATCTGTGTGTGCCTGTGTATCTGTTTGTGTGTGTCTGTATGTGAGTGTGTGTGAATCCCTGTGGAGTGTGCATCAGTATGTGCTTGTGAGCATATGAGTGCATGCATATCTATGTTTGTGAATCTGTGTAACTTCAGGTGTGTTCATGTGTATACCTCTGTGTAGTTGTGTGTTGCTGGGTGGGTGTGCTTTGCATGTGTGAAGATCATTAAGTGTGAGGGTGTATCTGCATGTGTGTATCTGCATGTGTGTCATGTGTACAGGTGTATCTCTGAATGCACGTGTATGTGTGCTTATCTGAGAGCATGCATTTCTGTGTGCATGAATATCAATGTGAATACAGATACATATGAATGTGTGCACGCATGTGGGTGTGTGCAGGCATGTGTCTATATGTGCACGTGTGAATATTCATATGTGTCCCATGAGTATCTGCATAAGTGTGAGTATGTGTATCTGCATCTCTGTGTATGCATGTGTATCTGTGTGTCAGTGTATACATGTGTGCATCTATGTGGACGTGAATATCTGCGTGTGCACATCTGAGAGTGTGTAATCTCTGCAGGTGTGAATCTATGTCCAGGTGTGTATCTGAGTGTGCCTGTGCACGTGTACATGCGTGTGAGTGCGTCCATGTACGAGTATGTGCATGTGTGAGTATGTGGTATGAGCTGACAAACTTTCGCCCTTGGACGTGGTGCCCCAGGCTCAGCTCAGGCTGTCTCCAGACCTGCTGTCAGCCAGCGCCCACCTCTCCAGATGCAGCCAGGAGCCAGGACCCCCAGCAATGGGCTGGAAGAGGGTCCTGATCCTGGGCAACTGGGCGGGAGGCTGAGTCCAACCGGGTTCCTAGTTTCAATCGTGTTTGCCATCCTATGCCCTCAGGTACACGAGTGACCACTTGGTCTCAGCTATAGGCACTTTGGGGCCGTGGCCCCTGGGGTAATCAGCTGTTGCCCCCCCTGGGTCTCCAGGACAGCTGGGGCCCCACCCCTGCCCAGCCACCCCCCCCAAGGCCACACTGTCCTTGCTATCCGGGATTTCTTCCTGGTGCTTCGGATCTGTCCCTTCTGCTGCAGAGGGGTCTGGCCACATCCTCAGGAATGTGGAGCCCGATACGCAGGGGCAGCAGGAGGTGGGGTGCAGGGAAGGGTGGGGGGTGGGCCAGGGGGGCCGGGTGGCAGGGCCAGCCACACAGGGTGACTACAGGGCCAGGGGCCAGGAGGACACTGTACACTGACGGGTACCAATGACCGGTTCCTTGATACCATGCTGACAGGGTCCTCCTAGGCCCTCAACTCACCCTTATAGGAGCCACACCATGGCCTAAGTGACCTTGGACAAGGGGTGGGGCATAGCAGGGCCCCCACCCCCGGAACACAGCTGTGCCTGCAGATACATGCACGCCACACCTGGCCCAGCAGCCAGCAGACCTGCTCTCCTTCCAGCTTGGTGCCTCAGTTTCCCCACCACACGCCAAGGGGCTGATGCTCCAGCTCCCATCCACGCCACCCTCCCAGCCAGGCCCCGGACCACCCTGCCAGGCCTGACCCCAGACCCGGGGGCCCTGTCCCACCCCACCAGCCAGGCTGCCAATGGCGGCCCAGACTCGGCCACAACAGGCCCTCTGTTGTCCTCTCACCGAACAGTGCCCGCCTGTGTGTCCTGGGAAGGCTGCGGGGGAGGGGGCACCTCACACTGAGTCTGTCTGCCCAGGGAAGTCGCCCAAGCACTAAGGCGCCCATATATCCAGCCCATCTCGCCACTTCAGGGGCTCTGTGGCCTCCACCGTCTGTACGTGGCTGGGTCTGGCCACTCTGAGCCACCGCCATCCACCTGGGAAGCAAGAGGGTTTGGTCCAGGCGGGGGCTTTGGGGCCACACTCCCATAGTCACCAGCGGAGTTGGGGTTCCAGGAAGGCTGGCAGGATGTGCTGAGCCAGCCCTCCAGGGGCCGTGGGCATGTCCACCCACACAGGGGCCACGGCCAGGGCCCCGCAGGGCAGCCGT